GAGACATCGGAGATGCTATCTGAAATTACGGAATGTAAATGAGGCACAAAAACAGGAAAGAAGAAACGGATCGGAAAAAGATTGTCATCAGCGTATGCGTAGGCACGCACACACTCACACGTCCACGCACACACGCACACCCCCCATCCCCCACATCCACACACACACACACGCACATCCCCCCACGTCCACACACACACACAGTTTTTTTGTCAGCTACTCGAGGACAGCTCTCCATTATGAACCTCATCTTGCCTACCAGAAAACATTCTAAATTAATGAATAAAATACTTTCCGACGCCAGAAATGAGAGATGGTTCGTCCAATGTGAGTGTCCAACTGGGCCAGGAGAGTTTATCAGAACACCAGTCAACACAAGTGGAAAGTGAACACTGGTGTCTCTCTAGACCACTTAACCTGACACCACTCTTCTTTCTTCATTTTCCTTTCTTCTTTCTTATTCTTATTCTTCTCCTTTGTCCTCTTTCCTTCTACTTTTACGAATATTTTATTCTCTCCCTTCTGTTCTCTCGCTTCCCGTCTGTCATCCGTCTCTCCTCTCTCTCTCTCTCTCTCTCTCTCTCTCTCTCTCTCTCTCTCTCTCTCTCTCTCTCTCTCTCTCTCTCTCTCTCTCTCTCTCTCTCTCTCTCTCTCTCTCTGTCACACAGGGTTTGACAAGGTTAGGTTAAGGATCCCTAGTTTTATTGACAGTCTATTTACAGGTTAAGGATTTCTAACTTTATTGACAAGCTAAGAGCTGTTACCTACATCAGCTCATTTGAAAGCATTTTTATTGTTATAATCCATACAAGTAAGGAACAGGATGAAGTTGGAGCCATCTGTGGGCCTGCATTTTCATTTGATCAACTGACTTTATCTCGTTGACATCATAATGCTGTACGAATGTGTTCTATACTCGAGTAATCCTGGAGATAAATGATCTCAGATGAAGTGATGTTCTGGAGAAGGGTACAGCCAGAGTGAAGTTGATGCTTTCTGCCCGTCTTGTGGTATAGAAGCTTGCTTCACGCTGTCCTCGAAGTGGATCCAAGTGTGGTACTTTGACAATATTGGTCTTGTACATAACAGTAAGGCCACCCACATCCCTCCTATGTTGAAATCTCTCCCTCTCTCTCTCTCTCTCTCTCTCTCTCTCTCTCTCTCTCTCTCTCTCTCTCTCTCTCTCTCTCTCTCTCTCTCTCTCTCTCTGACTGCCACATACACTGTTATTGGACCCAGCTGGCTGCCACATACATTGTTACTGGACCCAGCTGGCTGCCACATACATTGTTACTGGACCCAGCTGTCTGCCACATACATTGTTACTGGACCCAGCTGGCTGCCACATACATTGTTACTGGACCCAGCTGGCTGCCACATACATTGTTATTGGACCCAGCTGGCTGCCACATACATTGTTACTGACCCAGCTGCTGCCACATACATTGTTACTGGACCCAGCTGGCTGCCACATACATTGTTACTGGACCCAGCTGGCTGCCACATACATTGTTACTGGACCCAGCTGGCTGCCACATACATTGTTACTGGACCCAGCTGGCTGCCACATACATTGTTACTGGACCCAGCTGGCTGCCACATACATTGTTACTGGACCCAGCTGGCTGCCACATACATTGTTACTGGACCCAGCTGGCTGCCACATACATTGTTACTGGACCCAGCTGGCTGCCACATACATTGTTACTGGACCCAGCTGGCTGCCACATACATTGTTACTGGACCAAACTGGCTGCCACATACATTGTTACTGGACCAGCTGGCTGCCACATACATTGTTACTGGACCCCAAACTGGCTGCCACATACATTGTTACTGGACCCAACTGGCTGCCACATACATTGTTATTGGACCCAGCTGGCTGCCACATACATTGTTACTGGACCCAGCTGGCTGCCACATACATTGTTACTGGACCCAGCTGGCTGCCACATACATTGTTACTGGACCCAGCTGGCTGCCACATACATTGTTACTGGACCCAGCTGGCTGCCACATACATTGTTACTGGACCCAGCTGGCTGCCACATACATTGTTACTGGACCCAGCTGGCTGCCACATACATTGTTACTGGACCCAGCTGGCTGCCACATACATTGTTACTGGACCCAGCTGGCTGCCACATACATTGTTACTGGACCCAGCTGGCTGCCACATACATTGTTACTGGACCCAGCTGGCTGCCACATACATTGTTACTGGACCCAGCTGGCTGCCACATACATTGTTACTGGACCCAGCTGGCTGCCACATACATTGTACTGGACCCAGCTGGCTGCCACATACATTGTTACTGGACCCAGCTGGCTGCCACATACATTGTTACTGGACCCAGCTGGCTGCCACATACATTGTTACTGGACCCAGCTGGCTGCCACATACATTGTTACTGGACCCAGCTGGCTGCCACATACATTGTTACTGGACCCAGCTGGCTGCCACATACATTACCACATTGTATCAACAAATTTAAATATTTTATAACAAATGTTATGTATAAATATCCC